AATACTTGGGAGGGACGGGGACAAAATTAAGGATGTTCTACACCCTTTCTGCCAAAATTCACGTTTTTTTAATTTTTCTGGCAAACTTATGATGGAATTGACGTGAAAAAATATAACTTTTTTGCGTTTTGTCATTATTTAATGACTGACGAAATTTTAAGGTGGTGCGAACATTTTCCTGCGTTTTCTCTAAACTTTTAAAAAGAATCACAAAACTGTAGAAAAAACGCATGAAAATTATCGCACCACTACGCAACCTTCGTGAGCCATTAAAGAATGACAAACCACAAAATCGTTATATTTTTTCACGTCACTCCCATCGATAATTTGCCAGAAAATGAAAACAACGTCAATTTTGGCTAAAAGGGTATCGAACATCCTTAATTGGTGAGATGAATAGGAAAAATAGAGAATGGGAAAAAGGGAAATGTTGTTGCAAAGGGTGGAGTGTTGTGAGTCTGACGACAGTGTAAATAAGATTAACGCGGCGATAATTGTCATTCCATTGCTATCTCATTTATGTTTCGTGTTATCCATTGTTGTGAGGCTATTTATAGTGAATGGGACAAAACAGATTTTTGAATATTTATCTGTTCATCACTGGATTCGAATAAAATTGGGAGTATTTCAGGGCTTGGAAAGAGAGGGGAATTTTACTCTGCAAATCTGGAGATATTTAGGGTAAAAAATTGATTTTTTGACATAGCCGTCCTGATTGGATCTAGAATTTTGTAGTATCGGAACAATTAATGAATAATTGTAATTCCGTTATGTTATCTCGTTTCATTTTATCTGCTATTGGGATTCTATTTATAGAGACTGAGACAAAATTAAAAATTTTCAATCTTCGATATCTGCCGATCAAATGATACGATTTGAATGAAAATAATCTCACAATGAAGCGCACAAAGAGTTCGTAAAAATGATGCAAGATTTCGGGAATGTTACTCTGCGAATCTCGAGGTTTTTGCGATTTAAAAAAAAGTATATTTTCGGTAATAATTTTTACTAGGTCTAGGCTTTTGTGCTGCTGTCAAAATAATTTTTGTTGTGGAAATTCATGATTTTTTTCACTGGTGTTGACTAGTGTGGGATTATAAATCGTTATTTGAAAATTATTGACATTTATTTATGTAATAAACTTACTTCAGCGCTTGGACAGCGGCGTTTAGGCCCATATTCCGCGTAACCCCCGCTTATTACAGGTTCCTTCCTCCCCTGGAAATATTCCAAACACACTATTTGACGATTTGACACCATCAACCTCAAAACCTCAAGGGTTTGCCCTCGTTGAACACAAATATCGAATAATTTATGAGCTTGAAAAAGACGTAATTCCGATATTATAGGTTATACCCAGTATTTAATGGGAAGTGTACGTCATGTCATGGTTAAATAACAGCCACAAAAGCCACAGAAAACGATCGTTAATTACCGCTAGAGCGATTGCAACGTACATTATCAATATGGAATTAAAAAACTATGCTTACTGTCACATATTTATTTATGTTGAATTCATAAAAACTTTTGATAAAAAAAACCTCACATCCGACACATCCGAATGGGGGGGAGGGGGGTCGTTTGTACGATCTCAGATGGACACATTCCGTTTTGGAACACGTTCTAGGGAAAATGGTGACAATACGAGAAACGGGTGGAACAGATGGGCACGGAAATTTTGGAAAACATTCTCGGATGGGGAGACTATGATCAGGTGGTTAAACAGGGCTCGGTATTGGAGATATCTTCAGGAAATATCGTACCAGGCGACATAAATAGTGTATTTCGATACAAGTGTGACGAGTTAAAACACCCCGTCGCACGTGTATCCGAAATACATTTTTCATCACGCTGTGACGAAAAGTGAACTTTTCGGCACGCTCCGCGTGCCTAAAAGTCCAATTTCCGCCACATTGTGATGAAAAATATTGTTCGTAACTCGTGAAAAAATGTTTTTTAGCTCGTGGGATTATATCACTCGCCTTCGGCTCGTGATATAAANGTATCACTCGCCTTCGGCTCGTGATATAAACCTCCCACTCGCCAAAAAACACTTTTTTGCACTCGTTACGAAATATACTATTTTGTTAGTGATGTTACGTTCAGCGAGTGCCGAACTGTGCCATTTTTCGTTTACCAGTAAACGAAAAGTCTTTTTTCACCCGGGGCCAAAATGCCAGATCTTGGATTTTTCCGGGGGAAAGTCGACTTTCGCCAAAATCGAATTTTTTAAACGGGTGAACTTTGATTCCAACTATTTAAGCGACGGGCTATTCAGAACTATCAAAAGTATGTGGAAAAAGTGAAAACTG